ATGTCCGTTGAACATTATTCGATTTTACCGTTCGTGATATAGGGTATGTTTCTTTTGTTTCTTCTTCTTCTAGGTGCCTTATCCGCTTCGAACGTTGGCTAAAATGATTGCTATTTTGATAAACCATTGACATAAATTCGTCAGCCATGATATCTTTCGTCTCCCAGAGCCACGTCTACCTTCAATTCTGCCTTCAATGATTAATTTTAGTAGTCCGTACTCTTCCGGATGCCTCAGAATATGACCAAAAAATTCCAACTTCCGGAGTTTTACTGTCTCTAATATTTCTGTCTCTTTGTTAACACGCCGAAGTACCACTGTATTTGTAATTTTTTCTGTCCAGCTTATTTTGAGCATACGTCGGTAGCACCACATTTCAAAAGCCTCGAGTTTATTCATCGATGCAACAGACAGCGTCCAGGCCTCTGTCCCGTAGAGGAGTATAGAGAATACATAGCACCGCAGTATTCTTATTCTAAGCGGCAATGACAGCTTCCGGGTACACAGCAAGTTTTTCATTCTGATAAAAGACGACCTTGCTTATTCAATTTGGACACGTATTTCTTTATTATCCCATTTCTCATTGAGCTGACATCCCAAGTAGTTGTACTTATCGGTTCTTTTTATGACTGAACCAAATACTGTCAGTCTTCCTCCAGGAATAGGATGTTTGCTACCACCATATATTGGGTTTTACTGCAATTTAATTTTAGGCTGTATTCTCTGCACTTTAATGCAACAGCGTCTAACAGGTTCTGTAAACCCTCTATTGAATCGGCAATAAGCACTGTATCATCTGCGTAACTCAAATTGTTTATAAGTACCCCGTTAACCATAAGTCCATCTGTCGCATATTGTAGTGCTTCTTTGAAAACAGTCTCGGAGTATATATTGAACAGTAATGGTGACAAAATACACCCTTGGCGAACCCCGCGCTTTATTTTTACTTCTTGCGTTAAGTAACCATCAATGCAAACATTTGCGTACTACTTCCAGTATAAGTTTGCTATTATTCGGATATCCTTTTCATCTAATCGGCAATGCTTCAGAATTTCTATGAGTTTGCCATGTTCCACAGTGTCGAAAACTTTTTCGAAATCAACAAAACATAAAAAGACATCTCTGTTATAGTCACGGCAACGTTCTATTCTATTCTTTTGTTGGCATGTTACTAATTATTGTCCTTTTTTTTTGTATTTTCAGCTTACGAAATTAGATTTTAAAATAAAAATTAAAATTATTTGAAGTGTAGTGCGTTTTATTTTTTTTTTTTTTTTATTTATATATTTTTTTCCGAAAAATATTTTAGAATAATAATAAGAATAATAAGAATAAAACTAAAAGAAAAATTTTAAACAACAACTATCCCGTGTGACTTCAGTGAATAGTTTATGTGGGCGGAAATTTGTTAAACAGAAATTTTCGTCTTTACAAAGTTCTCTTCAACGATATCATCTACATCTTCCGTTGGAGCATAGGCATTGTAACGACCTTTTCCCGGCCCTATCTATAGCTGGGGTATACTCAGCGAGTATACCAGGGTTCGTTATAAGAAAATTTATAAATGTGAAATAATAGAGACACTTTTGTTTAAAGTAGCGTTTATTATTTAACCAAAAAAAATATAAATTAAGTTGTGGAAAGTAATAGACAGCGATGTTGAAAATGTTGTCAATGATGTGGAATGTTGTTAATGTTGTAACACTGTTGTAACACTGTTGTAGCGATGTTGTAAACGGTGTAGAATGTTGTATGCTGTTGATGTCAGTGGTGCGCAAGTTGGTGTCATTAGAATCGTGAAATCTGTAGTGAAAGAAATTCCAAATAGCTAATCTCTAAAGAAACTCTAATAAAATATAAATCAATACCTTTGTCAGTAAAAACCAGACAAGGGTCCCTTCCTGCTATTACGCCTGGCCACGTCCGTCAGCAATTGCCAAACGCTCGTTGTCCCACACGCCTTCTGACAGTGTTGGTGACACGTCGCCCATTCCTCCATCAGCTATGGCCAAATGGAAGTCTGGATGACTAGTTAAATTACCCTACGCCAGCAAAAGCCAAGCAGCAGGTAACTCAACTGGTTAAACTACCCTACGCCAGCATAAGCCAAGCAGAAGGTAATTCAACCACCATCACTTCGCCCAAACCAGTCCATCCATTCACACGGTGATCGTCAGCAATGGCCAAATGAATCAACATGTGCCTGGACCAACTAGTCCGAGCTCCCACTATCGTCCCTAACAAAATAGTTCTTACCTGTAGTGAAAGAAATTCCAAATAGAAAGATTTGGCAATTTCGCTGCCCTTTTATTTGAAATTTCTTCCATTACATACAAAAACAATAATTATTTTCAAATAAACAAAGTCCCGTAAATTTGTCAAAACAAATTTCTTATTGTTGTACGCATTGCAATCAAATTCAACAAAAATAACTGCATCACATAAAAAATGCGTGCACAATATTTTCCTTAAATTTGTTTATGCAGACAAACAAGAGAAATAGTTACAACAAATTTAACTAATTTTTATTAGCGGCAAAAAATTAATCAAAACATATTTTACTTTACAGGGTCATTCGTTTATACAAAATGTTTGTCTCTAATATGAAATTTACAGGGTCATTTGTTTATAATAAAAATGGATGTTACTGTAGGAAAATTTTATTGAATATAGAAATATGTTTTTTTTACTAAGTGGATTTAAAACTCATATTTGACTATTCATTTAATATGTGGGGTTAAATTTTAGAATAAAATTTGGGCCTTACAGCATTTATCAGTATAAGTTTGCTAAACATTCCTTTCATGGAGATTAAGCATATTCTGTCATTTATTGGTTTGAAGCCACGCGTTTGTTAAGTAGGAATCCAGTTCCATACCTACCAGACCTTTCGGCGTTACCACTAAAACGGCATTTTGTACCATTGCATTCAATTTCACCACTCCCTTGCCATCGCTCTTCTTGAACCGCTAGCACGTTGACGTTGTACTTTTCCATTTGCTTTATTGTTTCTTGTAGTGCTCCTGCTCTCACCAGCGTACATACGTTCCATGTTTCCAGAATTATATCATGCTTCCTTTGTTTTTACCTTGTTTTATGTTTCTTGTGTGTTTCATGATATTTCACAACATTTTTGACAAGGCGGGTTTTGAAATCAGCGCTCAACCCTTTTGGCCCAGGGAAAGAAGGGTGTCCGATATCTGTTCTTTGCTAGTATCCGATTTTCTTTTTCTTCTGTTCAAGTGTTTATAGATACACGGGGCAGTTTTTGCCAAGCACGAAATGATTTTCGTCAAGACCCAGGCCTGGCTTCTCATTTGCATACAATTTATGCAATCGCGAGTGCGGTGTCTTTATTGGAATTTTCGGCAGCTTATTGCAGTACCTGCAATAAGGCGCCCTGTGGTTGAATCCCTGGCACTTGTAACAGATCATTAAATCCGTTCCATCGTAAATTTTACACTTTTCCCAGCCAATGTTCAGTTTTTCTGCTTTCATAGCTTTTGTAAATGTACTCGAGTCCGTTTCAAAAATTGCGTTGTAGAATATGGTACTTTACTATCTCGTTTTATTTCGTATATTTTTGCTAGTTTTAATTCCCAATTAGAGAGGCACTGATTTTGTTTTCGCAATTTTTCAATCATTTCTTGTTCGTTATATTTAAAACTGATTCTAGAATTGGTAAATCGTGGCGTAATAGAGTTTGGGACTTTTACTTTATAATTCTCGCTCATATCACCCTCTACAGCACATTTTATTTTTTCACATTTGGAATCACTTTCTGTTTCTATAACAATTGTGCCGTTGTTTCTTTCGTAGAAATTAGCGATTTTCAAATTTTCAGGGTTTATCTTATTGTTTAGGTCTTGCTTTGTTTTTGCAATACTTTGTTCTGAATTAGGTTAGATCACGAGGGGTACTTCTTTTTTGAATTCTTGCACTTTTTCTACTCTTTTGGGTTTATTTGCTTTTAGTGCTTCAACATATGATGCTTGCTTTGGACTGTTTGGCTGTAAAGCGCTACTTTGGATTTCCCCTAACTCTTCACAGATTTTTTTGTTTTGCTTGTTATTGCTTTCAATTTCATCCCGTACTTTTTCCTTATGAGTTTTTATTGTTTCTGCAATTTCGCGAAATTTTTTAACTTCTATGGCACCCTCTCCACATATGCGTTTCACTTCTTTCATATTTTCCAGACGCTGGCTGAAGTTTTTTTCGATTGCTGTTAGCAAAAGTTTTAGTTCGTCTTCGCTTTTTTGCTGAGCTTGCATTAAACTGTCGTAATTTTTGGCTAGTGCTGTTTCAAAATGGTTTTTGTATTCACCCGGTTGTTCACAGAAGCTTTTGCCATTGTCGTTGCATTTTTTCACGCACTTCATCAATGTTGTGTATAAGTGTAAAACAGTCCTCGCACATAAATCTTACAAAGAGCCTGTCCAAAACTCCTTCCAAGTAATCGTCTAAACCACTACATTTAACCGTGCGGTGGAATTGTTTTTGACATGCCTCTTAACATATTATAAAGCTGTCATTGCGAATTGACTTACTACAGTTTGAGCAATTTATTTTGTCGCGCCGAACTCGCGACCGATAATGAGAACGCTAAAACGTATCAAACCGCACGAGTCTGATGTGCTATTCCTTAGTTTTCAGTAAGAAGCAACTATATATGTATATAGTGTAAGAAAGGAATTTTTACGTTAAAATTCCACCCAACATATATGACCACACTAGTCCGTACTGGCACTGCAACATCCGCGAACACTGTAAATTTGAAAATACAGTGAAATTCCTCATAACCGGACACTCACCGTCGCAGTGTTTTTGTCCGGTTATGGGAGATGTCCGCTTATGGGAAAGACTACAAAAAATTATCATTAAATTGTCGTTTATTTAATATATTTTGCAAATTCGTTATTATTTTATAATAAATATTATATATACAAACATACATATTGTTACATGTGTCAATAAAATATGTTAGTTTTTGCATATCAATACTATTTTGGTTGAAAAAATTTTGTAATGATTGATTGCTTAAGCATTGATTGTTTTAATTTAAAATGCTCATTTTCAAAATGACTCTCGATATTTTTGATGTGTTGAAAAGCTACGAAGTCATTTTTGGCAAATTGTTTCAAACGTGCAACAAGTGTTAACGAATCATCGTACGATGTTATGGGATCACTTATTTCTTCATTAGGTTCTTCATCTGAATCACTTATGTCCATTTTATCGTTATGCTCTTCAAATTCAATTTCGATATTGTTATCTTCAGTGCAGACATTTCTATCTATTTTGAGAAAATCGTCAAAATCATTCGCCAAGTCAGGTCCTTCCTGAAATTTAGCATAGAGTGCCAGTGGAATGTCATCTTCGGGATCAAAATCGGAAAAACTTTCATTACTTTTTGAAAATCCTGCTTTACAGAACCCATTTTGGATTGTTGTTGCTTTTACTTTATCCCAAGATGTTTTAAGGAAATAAACAGCTTCAAGTACATTAATAGATTTCGCCAGCTCTGAAGCTGACCTTGTAGTGTCGATTTTACGTAGCAAGTGTTTTAAAAGTAAGGTCCTATAGAAAATTTTAAAATTTTGGATTACTTCTTGATCAAGAGGTTGGATTGCTGTCGTTGTGTTTGGAGGCAAAAAAACAATATTTATGTTAGTTAAGTTTAATTCCCTTGGATGAGATGTTGCATTATCCAAAAATAAAACAATTTCTCTATTCTGAACTCTCATTTTTTTTATTGAATGATTGAATGATGTTTAAATGATCGAGGGCGAGCTGCTTTACCTATAACCAAAAGGAGTTCTTTTGCTCGCACCATGTTTGCGCAAAACAAAATTGTGAGTCTTTCCTTCGAAAATTTACCGCCAATGCATTTTTCAGATTTAAGAGCGAGAGTTTTGTTAGGCAATGCGCGAAAGAAAAGCCCGCTTTCATCTGCATTGTAAATGTCCTGGGGCTTGTATTTGCTCAACAAAGCTGGCTACTTTCCCCTGAACTGATCTACATTCTCCTGGTTTACATCTGCAAATTCACCAGATATGCACTTGAAAGCAACATTATTCCTTAAGCGCCATCTATTCAACCATCCATCTGAAGCATTAAAATTAGATATACCCAATTTGATTGCTATTTCGATTGCTTTTGCCTCTACAATAGGGCCAGACAAAGGAATTTTTTGAATTCTAGCCTTAGCAAACCAATCAAAACACATCTTGTCTGTCTATTTCAGAGCCACCTTCTTTAAGAAAACTTCGCTTTTGATGAACGTTAACTCCAGACTCCCATTTAGAACGTATTGTTTCTTTATTTTTATCGAATTCTCTAGCTTGTGTTTTGCCAATATTAAAGCTTTGAAAACAAAAAATTGTGCAAAATTTCATTTTTTATGGGTTTAAATTTACCTTTTTGCGATTTCACGTACAGACAATTTTTCGTTTTCGAACACGTTAATAATTTCCATTATTTCTTTAGTGGATAGTACCCTTTTTTTGGTGCCATGTTATCACTTGCAACTTAAAAATACACACAACCTAAATGCAATTTATTTAACAAACTAAATGAAGAAACATAATTCTTGACAAAAATACAAACAGAATTTATATTGTGGGAACTCCAGATTTTTAAAAAACAGGTTCGGTATTTTTTTGAATTTTTTCCGTTTATGAGAGATTTTTTGATCAAAATAGTTTGAAATATAGTGTCCGCGTCCTGTTATTAGAGCGTCCGGTTATTGGAATGCATTTTATATGAAAAAATTAATGAAAAACCTATGTCCACGAAATTTGTCCGGCTATTGAAGCTGTCCGGTTAATAGGACTGTCTGTTATGAAGAATTTCACTGTATTTTAAAATTATATGTACAATAATGAAATGTAATAAATAAATACCTTAAATTTAAATATTTCTTTTATTTATTATAATTATTACAATCCACAAATTAAAATTTAATAAAACACACGTTTTCACGAACGACGAATTAAAACAAAATAATGCAGTGGCTAAAAGAAGAGAGGTCAATGCGCGCGCAACTAAAGTTACAAGAGACAAAAAACGGCGAATATAACCAGCCGTAAACAAAAAAATAAGTAACAGAATAAGAATGCACACGCACACAATGACATCAAAATGCAAACCAGCCGTAAAGAAACAGTTGCGCTACATTACAGGTTGATCTGATGGGTATATAAGAAGACGCATTTGCTTAGAGAAGGGACTTAGTAATCAACGCTCAAAGTGATCAGAAGCAGGCGGAGGCTCTTAATCAACTCTTGAAGACACCGGAAACACACCAGGGACTGGGACAATCGAGTAGCAGCATACAAAATCGCTCGTAGAGCAAAGTATAAAAAGAACAATTATATATTAATTTTCTTAATATATATATATGTCCTTTCTACTTTAACCTTACATAAGCGTGAACACGTTTATATCCCTCCACGGTAGCAAATATAAGCGTGAACACGTTCATATCCTGTTACCAAACCCTAATATAAAGAGTGAACACGTTTTATCCCTCCTACAGCCAGCGCACATAAACGTGAACACGTTTATATCCCCTGTACCACTTCGACGGATCGTCTGTCGATACCTTTGACAGCACTGACAATATAACGCGGTTTGCCCGTTCTATTTGGGCATTACCTCTTGGCACACCGGTTGTAGTCTTAACATGAACTAAGTTGGTTTCATCACAAACGTTAGTAAACGCTTGCGACGTAAATGCTGTACCTCTGTCACTTTTAATACGTTTAGGGTAACCAAATATATCTGCCCATGTTGTCAACTTATTTATAACTTCGTCTGCCGATGTCGTTTTCGTTGGGTACAACCACACGAACTTTGTGAAACCGTCTATCACAGAAAAAATATATTTGTACTTTTTACACGTTACGTCCATTGGCCCAACGTAATCGACATGTAGAGTATCTAGCGGTATATCGCCCTTTTCAATGTAATGTAATTCGCCTTCTTTTTTGCCCAACTTTTTATTGTGTATGATGCATTTTATGCTATTATTGATCAACGCAGTCAGTCACTAATACAAATTTTATACTCAGCAAATAATGACGAAATTTACGCATCGCTAAAAACGCTGCCTTCGTCTCCAAGATATAACTATGCTGCGTTTCTTCCGCTGTCGACGTCTTTTTGCTCCAAAAGTGAATGGGGGGTAATTGATCCTCCACTTGTTGTATAAGCACTGCACAAAACACGTATTGTGATGCATATGTGTGTAGCTCAGTTTTTGCGTCACGGCTGTATAACTGGAGTACCGGTTCTTTTACCAAAAGTGTTTTCAAGTTCTGTACAGCTTCTACTTGTCTTGGTCCCATTGTAAATTTCATATTTTTTTGAGTAGTTCTGTCAATGGTCTCGCAATTTCGCATTATCCCCTAATGAAGTTGCGAAAATAGCCAGTCAATCCCAAAAACGACTGCACTGCCTTTAAATCTTTAGGTACGGGCAACTTTTGTATTGCTCTCGTTTTTTCATAGTCTGGTTTTACAGTACCATTCTCTACTGTATGACCTAAACAGTTAATGGACTGTTTCACAAACGAACATTTTTGTCACTTAATTTTGAGTCCATATTTGGCTGCTACTTCTAACACCTTTTCTAACTTCGTAATACCCGTTACTGGCGTATTGCTATAGACTACTATGTCATCGATGTAGTCGATAGACTATTATGTCATCAGTTTCTGGAAAATGTACGTTATAAATCTTACGAATGCTGCTGGCGAGTTACAAAAGCCAAACCGTGCACGATTAAATTAATAAACGCCACTCTTAGTGACAAATGCTGTATACTTCCTGCTATGTTTTTCAACCGGCACATGGAAAAACCCATTCAATTAAGAAACCATATCCTTTATAACGTGATGTCTACGTTATAAAGGAGAGAGACGATTTTGCGTGGTACCCCATAATATATGCTGGCATAATTTATGGAGTGGATTGGTATACCAGTATATTGGACTGCATATAGGACGTATGGGTTTGTCAGATTTATGAATCTTAATGGTACCGTATAGATATGGAAATGTTAATTTATCCTTAATACGTTCTTCCAGCTTTTTATAGTTGTCAAGGCGATTGTGACCAATCGAATTGTAGCTTCTAAAATTCTTAGAAGTTTTCCAGAAGCTTGCTTATCTCCATCCTATAGGATTGGAGCTTCTATTATCTAAAGCTCCAATCTATATATTTTATTAATCAATAGGTAAGTTCGTGAAGAATTATAACTGAGTTTAATTTTATCCTTAACTCTTCACATAGATTTTTTATATTATTCTTATATTTAATATTATTTATATTTCTTATTAATGTAGAAATTGTTTTATGCTCACCAAACTCCTTTATTAATACTTCCTTTAAGTCCTTCCAGTTAGTTGGCTGTTCTCTTCGTATTACGTTTAAAGCGGATCCTTTTACTGTCCGCAATATGCAGTTGAAATAAAATGTTCTATCTGCTGTCGGTAGAGTGGCTATAGTTGGCACTAAGGATTCAATATTTCCGATGTACAGAGCAAGTTTTTTTTGTTGCCATCGAATGGTTCGATATATTTTAAGTTTTGTAGGATGAATTGCTTCTTTTCTCGAGCTTCCATGTTTGAATTAGTACTTCCTGCGTTTATGGTTAGATTATTACCTCGTTTATTTCACTCAATTCGTTAATCATAATCTATAATTATGAATTAAAATTAATGTTTTTGTTGTTTCTTTATAGAGTTCACAACGTTCTCTTATATTATTTAAAAATATATATATGTATATTTTTTTTTTTAACTTTTACAATATAAATGTTTTATTTAAATTTTTAAAGTGTATTTATTTTTAGTAATTCACTTTTTTTTGTACGAATTGTTACAAATAATAGGTAAAGCAGCAGCAAAACACGTGTTGCACATTCGGTAGTAAAAACGGAAGTAAAAAAGAACTTTATTAATATGTCACTAGAACATTGTACAATATTTATGCACGGTTGCATTATACAATATTTATGCATGGTTGCATTTCTATAAATTATATCTGTGGGTTTTTGCCACACACTTTATTTTTAAATAAAAATAACAAATGTTTATAAATTACAAAACAAGACAATGAAAAAACGTTGCGTTATCAAAACGTGCAAAAAGGAAGAAGGAAACCAGTCGCCAGCCACTGAAGTAAGCTGCTGCTTGAAAATGGTCATTTTGCCCACAGATGGCGCGAGTGCGGGTGCATTCACACACATAGAGCGCTGCAGTATGTGTGGCGAGTTCGCCACATATCTAATACATAATATTACTTTAACACTAATTATTATTAATACTGCTTATACTTTTTATTATTAATTTGTACATTCAAAATCTCTGCTATAATTTGTTTTCTTATTTAATTAATTATTTTTTTATTTGAATTGGAAACTAAATTATTTACTTTCAAAATCTATTTAAAATTGTTAATAAAGAACTGTTCGCAAATGAAAAATATTTTTAAAATGGCATCGCAGTGAATGTGAACAAAAAAAAAGTAGCTTAACTTCTTCACAGCAATCGCTCACAAAAAATTAACAAGGTTGATTTTTATGCACACGAAGCCGACTATTTACTCATAAAAAGCTTTTTAGCAAAATAAGAGGGATAGCGGAGACCCCTGTGGTACTCCTGCCTATATGTTTCTTGGAGACGATGTTATGTTGTTGACTTTTACTTTGAATGAGCGATTTTTCAAAAATCTGCCTATTA